CATCACGCGTTTGTGTGCTGCACATGCCACAAAGTCCTGTACTGGCTGGACCACAACGATTCGCACACAGATGTGCTTTGAAGCTTCCTAAAAGCGCACCCATTTGTATACAACTACACAGAGATACTTCCTGCCATCCAGCATGAGACACCCAAACATGTCGATCGTGCTTGTTCTTTTCTTTTCTGCGGCTGGCGGAATCATCGCGACTTTGGCCGGGATGATCCGTTCATTCTCGCACTTCATTACCATGTCGCACACTTCGAGCGAAAAATATGGTCGCCTAGGAAATCTAGATGGCACGACTCCTTGCACCCAAACACAAGACAAGGTTCATATGTTCTTCCGGAATACAAATAGCAAGCGAATAACTCGTCGCCAAATCATTGCTTGCCCACCTCTGCATGCTCGCTGCAAGCTTTGGCAGCTTGAGCGCAACTGAACATCAGAGTCCCTCATTGGTGGTCTCATGCGAATACATCCCAGTGCTGTCGAGGTCGTCGCCAGCGATTTTGCGGCAAGCCTGGCATGCAGAAGGTGGTGGCAGATGACCTGCTTATCTCTCTCATCTGTTGGGATCACGCACGTGCCTCTCTTCTGTGTCAACTCTCCGCACTTCCTTTAGGGCATTCAAGAAAAAAAGGTTGAGCTTGGGAAGTGTAATGGCGAACCGAAAATGCGGCTTTCACTCTGCTCTGCAGGCAAGGAGGAAACGAAGCCCTTGAGCACAGCGCACTTGCGGGCTAGAGTCCCAACACGTTCAACTAGCAACCAGCCAATCCTTCTATGCCCGTCTCCCACATGCAATCCCAACCTATCTATTTGCTCCCTTTGCTGTCCTCACCACTCGTGTGCACAAACAACCCTACCCCCCACCCTGCGTCCCATCCGGGCAACATTCTTGCTGCTTCTGCTCTCATACTGTCCAACTACTTTTAGCATATAAAACAACCCATCACCAGACTTGCGCTCACCATCCGCTTGCATACGTTCCCATGTTGCACCGCGTCCCAACCAGCGGGCCCCAGCCGACCCTTCCGTGTCGCTGTGTGCCTACCACACCTATCACATCCTACACATCCCTTGCAACTTTGTCCCCCCGTTCCACACCCTTGGCATGACCCAGGGATGCTTTTGGGAATACACACACGTGAACTAGGGTTAGGTGTGCTCCTAGGAGGTTGGGATGAAGCTCAACACCGCGTGAGGTTGTAAACATATGGTGTGTGACAAGTAACCCGTCCAAGCTCAACTCGCTTGCAGACATTCCTTCTTGCTCCTTCAATTGCTGCCTTTCTTTCACTCAGCTTGTGATTGCTGATGTGACCACAATACTGCAGGGAGGGAACTTAGCAGCCTTTCCAAACGCCGACAATCTCATCTTACAATTACAGCGTTCCTCATTTTGCAGTGGTGCGGCACCCACGCATGAGGATCAGCGACATCAAGATTGCTAGCAATTTTACTTCACTCTCTTTTGCGGCTGCGAGGCCGAAGCCAAAAGCAGCGGCTGAGTCTGGCCTCCTCAATGGCGTCCATGCGGTACTCCATGGCAACGTCACTGGGCCAGCAAGCTTTTGGCCAGGCAAACATGCTCATGTCAGCTTGAATATGGCAGCGACTGAGAACTGGGCTCTGTGACATCATTGCGCTGGCGAGCAGCCTGAGTGGATGATTAGAGTTGGGCCCAGTAGAATGTATATTTTATTGTTTGCTTCACTTTAAGTCACTGGAAAAATGTAAAATGTGTCCTAAGTCTACCCCAGGACATGAGCTGCAGACAAGTCTGCCTGAGTCTCTCACTGGTGCCACAGGCCAGGCTGCGCAGGTTGCAGATGACAAAGCCTAAGCAAGAATTGGCATGGCAGCTCGGCTGTGCAATTCTGCTGTCGAGTGAACATCAGCACTCTTCAAGAGATTGCTTCCTGCCGTTGTTTAAGCTGACGGACCGTTAACCGTGCCCGCAAAGGTGTGTCTTTTAAGTTTTAAGACATGCTTGTTTTGGCCCCCTGTGGCACGGTTAGCCGTTCGTCACCGGGGGGTGGGGGGGATGGTTTTCACACTTCCTGTGAGTTACGCGCACACACACACACACACACAGCTCCGTGCACACAGGTTGGTCGCAGGCATTGCCCTCAGGCACGCGTGCTCACACACACACACACACCGCACACGCACACCCACACACACACACACACACACACACACACACACACACACACGCACACGCACACGCACGCGCACGCGCACGCGCACGCGCACGCGCACGCGAGCGCGCACGCGCACGCACACGCACACGCACACGCACACGCCTGCCTGCGTACGCACACGCACACGCATACGCACACGCACATGCACACGCGCACGCGCACGCGCACGCGCACGCGCACGCGCACGCGAGCGCGCACGCGCACGCACACGCACACGCACACGCACATGCCTGCCTGCGTACGCACACGCACACGCACGCACACGCGCACGCGCACGCACACGCGCACGCAAGCGCCGCGCACGCGCACGCACAACGCGCACGCGCACGCGCACGCGCACGCGCGCGCACGCTGCACGCGCACGCGACACGCACGCGCACGCGCACGCGCACGCGCATGCGCAACGCGCCACGCACCGCACGCGCACGCGCACGCGCACGCGACAACGCGCAACGCGCACGCGCACGCGCACGCGCACGCGCACGCGCGCACACGCACGCGCACGCGCACGCACGCACGCGCACGCGCACACGCACGCACGCGCACGCGCACGCGCACGCGCACGCGCACGCGCACGCACACGCACACGCGCACGCGCACACGCGCACGTCGCACGCGCACGCACACGCACACGCACACGCGCACGCGCACGCGCACGCGCACGCGCACGCACGCGCACGCGCACGCACACGCACACGCACACGCACTCGCGCACGCGCACGCGCACGCGCACGCACGCGCACGCGCACGCGACGCGCACGCGCACGCACACGCACACGCGCACGCGCACGCGCACGCGCAGCGCATCGCACGCACACGCGTACGCACACGCGCACGCACACGCAACGGCACGCGCACGCGCACGCGTGCACGCACACGCGCACGTGCAGCGCACGCGCACACGCACGCGCACGCGCAAGCGCACGCGCACGCGCACGCACACGCACGCACACACATGCACGCAGAACACAAAATGTTGTCGCATGCGAGACACCATGGCCCATGTAGAAGCGATTGTCCTTCCACTTACGCATGTCCTGCATTTCGGGCCATGGCTGCCCATACAAAGATGCGAAGGCTCTCTTCACGTGCTCAGGCTCTGAGCTTGATTCTTTTCACCAGGATCCTCACTAGTGTTTGGCAATTATTTTTGGCTGAGTTTCTTTTGCTGATATCATGACGGTTGCTCTTGTAACTTCTTCCAAATGTTGTGCACGATGCTCTTTTACACCTCTTGCAGCTGTTGTGAAATGGTCATGGGGGAAGAAACAAAACGTAAATGTGTAGAGCGTGTACTATGCTTAGGAAATCGAAGGAAATCCTGCGCCTGCCACGCGAGCGTTTTCAAAAATACACTTTTGCCGGCACGGTTAACGGTCCGCCGGCTTGTTTAACATATCCCGTTTGGACCACTAGGACCAGGGATGTGATGGGACCTGCCTGCTTTCTAGGTTAGACTTGTGCACTTTTCCCTGCCCTCACCCACTGCATTTCTAGCAGAATCCCCGGTTTGCTCGAGCAAAGCGCTTTGCAAATTCTCTTGTGCACGCTTGCGGCTCAACGTCGATTGCATGAGACGCTGTGTGTCAACTGATCACCCCCTAGGCCTCTGACTTGATTGAATTCGTAGTAGGTCAGGAAATTAGCGGTTCCCAGCGACAGAGCCTGCAATGGACATGAGTCAATCAACGCGCTTGTGAGAAACTGTGCCTGCGGATGGCATTTCCATTTGTAAATTGCCTGAGCACATCCAGGAATGTCTCTGGCAGCTGATAATTTGTGTGCCGATTTGTGCCACTTTCAATGTTCGGCATGACGTCAGTGACTTTGGCAGTTTAGGAGTGGACTTGTGAGACTTCACGGGCGCGACTGCCTATCAAACAGGCAAGTAATCAAATGTGGCGGGGGGACTTCCAGCCTGGAATATGACCAGTTAAGTCATCTGCGCTCAGAAAGCCATCACAGTCAATGTCTAAATACAGGAAGGCCAGGTACAGGACATCTGCCCAGGCCTTGAGAAACGCGTCACTTATTTGACCTCCTCTGGTGCATTTTGGTCCAGGCCTGAGAAGTAAACCACGAAGGCGATGCCACGGCAACCTCAAAACTGAGAGGCAAAAAAGCGTCAGGACGCTTTGCCGATTCGCTGAGATCATCGCGAGTTGGGCTGCAAGCCGGTCTATGTAGCCCGCACAGGCACCTCCATCTTTCCGAATGAAGTCCTGGGGGGGGGGGGGGGGCAAGCATGGCGTTGCTATTGCTCGGCAATCTGACTCCAGGTCTATTCCAAAGATCAAAACAATGCTATGGACTCTGCTGTCAAATCCGTTCCCCTTTTGCACGAAGCACTGCAAGGGGAACAGAGACATGTCTGCTTGGCAACATCAGAAGCGGCAAGAATATTCAAAACAAAGTGACAAACCATGCAACTCCTTCACACGATTCAATTCCAGTAGCTCTGGCTCGGTCACCGCTCTGGCAACTGCCAGCCAACCTGGATACACTTCAGCTCAGTATGAGTCAGGCTATGGGCACGGGACACACTGCACATGTATTGATTGTCACTCCAATCAAAGCAGGCTGGCTGCTAACTGCAGTCTCGCGCGACTGTGCAAACGTGCTCTAGAATGATATGTAGTGCATGCTGGTATGACAAGCTAAAGACACGCAGGGCGCACAAAGTCGCTGAAAAGTGTCCAAAGAGTCCCACCTTCACCGGTGCAGTGCAGCCGGACGAGCCGTGGAAGGTGCCCTTGCCCCTTTTACAGATGCCCTCATGCGAATGCCTGACTATCGTCTCCAGGTCCATCCTTCATTTCGTTTCAAGCTTTGCGTTCGGAACTGTTTATGAAACAAATTCAGAGCCCACCAATGCCCGGCCCATGAAGACACGCAAAACTTTCTTACACTCGCTGGCCAGCAGTTGACTGTCACATTCGCGTGACTTGGCTGCAATCCACTTCGAGCATAGCCCGTGCAACCAGCACCTGCCGCGCCTTGCCGACAAGTCATCCATTGACGGAGATGAGCAAAGCCTTTCCATGGCTCTGGCATGAGAAATGCCAGAAACAAAGCGGCCGGCCTGAAGCCTACAAATTGTGTAGCTGTCGAGCTTGAAGAAAGAAAGCCGTGATTCAGGGCATCTGCGGGCGAAAATCGCTTTGCCTGCACCAACCAATTGTTGCAGTCCAACCAACAACTCAAGCTGAGGCACAAGCGGGATCTGCTTGAGCACAGGCAAGGATAAACTCCCGTGCCAAGTGGGACAAATCTGACGACCATGCCTCCAAATCATTGCACTGGTGCGGCACGTGCCAAGCAACAGATTGCCTTCGTGGATGTGTTCAACTGCCCGAAAGCCGCGAGCCGCATCACCTGCCATTCGCTGAATCCTCTCGCTCTGACCCTGAGCCGGAGATTCGAAGGATACGCCTCCTCCTCTCTTTCCACAGGGTCCGAGATGGTCAGGGCCAGGTTGAAGGGGCTATGACCTTGGCTTCAGATCCTTCAGATCCCTGAGACCCATTGCGCAAGCTTAGGCTGCCACCAGTGAGCAACAAGTAGGTGACGACTCCGATACTGCCAGCAAATCTTTTTCATCAGATACAAGCAAGTGTGATTGCTTTTCAATCAGCCAGCCTCCACATGTCGCTCCTTCCGCCTTGCAAATCATCAATGACTATCTCGGCTCCTTTCACAGGTGGATTCCTTGGCAACCACATACGTAAACGTGCATATGCCTGCTAAAGCTGCACTTCTCCGCTGTATCCTGTATACGTTTGCTTGATATGGGTATGGGTCAAATTAAACCACCAGGGGACCGCAGGTTTTAGTCCATGGTTCCATTTACCAAGGTTGTATGCGTAACTCAGGGCGACTCAGTTCAGGTGGAGCATACCACAGCCTGGAATACACGTCTAAGAATGCGAGAAAAGCGAACAACTCACAACTCTCTCTCACTCTCTCTCATACAGACACTCGCACATAGGCAAACACAACACACACACATAAAACACATACACACACACACATATGTGCGCGCACACACACAGACACACGCTAAGCACACACACACAAACACATACCAAAAAATAACTCAAACCAACTAAGACAGAAAGAAAACTCAAACAAACCAACACACACAATAAAGCAAACACACAAGCTACACAAGACAACAAAACACCAAGACAAACAAACACCCGCACACACACACACACACACACGTATAGAGCGAGGGATACTCGCTGTCAAGCTCGACATGAAAGCAAACCCGAAACTATCAAAACAAGACAGCAACACAACACGATGAAAAAAGATAGGTCAACCGGAGAAAAAGACTTGGCAGGTACAAGTGGTTGATCAGACCACTCTTAGCTTCGCTGGACTGGATAGGAAAATCGGCTGCAGTCCCCGTGCAATCGCAAAACCGTAACGACACACACACACACACATGATCACACACACACACACGATCACACACACGTGATCACAGAAACATTCGTGATCACACACATGCCATCACAGACACGTGATCGCAAACACATGATCACCCCCACGTGATCACACACACACACACGTGATTGCAAACATGCGATCACACACACACACGTGATCACACACACACACACATGCGATCACTTGTGTGTGATCACGTGTTTGTGTGATCAAGTGTGTGTGTGTGTGTGAGATCACTTGTGGGTGATCACGTGTGTGTGTGATCGTGTGTGTGTGATGATGATGATGATGATGATGATGATGATGATGATGATGATGATGATGATGATGATGATGATGATGATGATGATGATGATGATGATGATGATGATGATGATGATGATGATGATGATGATGATGATGATGATGATGATGATGATGATGATGATGATGATGATGATGATGATGATGATGATGATGATGATGATGATGTGTGTGTGTGTGATCACGTGTGTGTGTGTGTGTGTGATCACGTGTGTTTGATCACGTGTGTGTGTGTGTGATCACGTGTGTGTGTGTGTGTGTGTGATCACGTGTGTGTGTGATCACACACACACACCACACACACACATGTGATCACACACACACACACGCGATTACACACAGGTGATTACACACACACACAAACACGCGCACACACTGCACACGCAGCGCAGGTACATACACACGCATTCGCATGCGAGGGCGCACGCGCACGCGTGCGCGCACACACACAAACACTCTCACACTCTCACACTCTCTCACACACACACACGCACAAGTGAACACATGTGCACAAGTGTGGCAACCATGCCAGGCTGTCGATCCAACCCCTTCTGCAGGAACAGGTGGCGGAGGGCAGGGACGATCAACCTAGCACTGAACAGCAGTCTGTGGCGTTGATCAAGATTCTGGTTCAAAACATGGCTGTCACAAAATGGATTTCCAATGGAAACCAGCCAGAAATGTAGCAGCAGTCTCCGCGCACCTGTACAACTGCAAGTACAACTGTAAGCAATGGGCAATGGCTGCCCAGCCGAAGTCCGCAAGCTTCACAAGCGGCACCTACTATCAATTCGAGGAAGAAAGAAACAACACCCAAAATCAGGTTCATCTCAAGAACTGGAACTGCCTCTTGCGTGCGGGACGAGGCTGCCGCGCCATACAACAAGAGGTTCTCTGGCTTGACCTGCGCCAAGGAAACATCTTCTGCGTGCATAATTTGTCGGTTTCGACCAGTGACTTGGGCGCCGTGCATCACGATGCTCGATGCCTCTGTCCACCCTAGGGCGATGAAGCATGGTTCAACCCAACACCTGGTTGTGCTCATTGCTGAACACTAGAGACTACTAGGAGTCTGGCAAGTGCTGGATGGCCAACCTGACAGAAAGGCGTGTCAAGTCTGCTGGGGCTGCCAAGAGCCGCTGACACGACTTGCCGAACCATCTGTGACACATAGCCCTCCAGCATGCTGCACCTCTGCGGCTTCATGGCATTCATTGAGCGATCGCCAATAGCTGTGTGCTGGGGCACCCATTGCTTGATGCATACAGCTCGTAGATGTCTCCACCATCACCTCGGTGCATACAATGAGAAGCAACTAGCGCAGCATTTGAGTCGTGAGTCATCTTAAACCTTGAAGGATCCATTCCGGGTATCAGATTGCTGTCTGCTTGCATGTCACTTCATGAAGAAGAAAGGCATGAAGAAAGGCACACTTCATGATGCCGGGCGGCAATATTCCAGCACCAGGACGTCATCATCAAAGCCCTGAATGGCTAGAGGCAAACTACGCAAGACTCTGACAAACGCCTAAAATACCACAAGAAGTCACACACACACACTTCTGAGCAAGCCTGGAAGCTTTCCAGCAGCCGGACCACGTGTGGATGCACACCAGCGACCAGCAACGCCTCCAAGACTCCATGTGGCGACTAGATGGCGTTAGACTGAGAAATGGAGCCCTCGGCGCATTGCCCATTGCTCCCGTTGCCTTTAGCTCATTCTTGAACATGACGGTACCTTTCTGATGAAATCGCTTCAACCTGTCAGGAAATCAAATCGCTGCATGACTCATGAATTTCCCCAATTAGCCAAGAGCGCGCAACTCTGCGCCCCGAACTTTGCGATGGCGATTGCCCCCCAAGTTTGCCACCTGCAAAGGTTCATCCTTTGCGATGCAAGCAGCCACTAAACAAGACGCATTTGTAGTGCTGGCAACACAAATGCTACTGACAATGCTGATGGTACTACAAATACTGATGCTTCATTTCAAGGCACAACCCGAAGGGCGATGCAGTGCAGCAATTGCGAGCCAACCATGTTGCCCCATTGCCTGTTCGCGGGCTTAGCAGCCTCAGGGCTTCAAAGAATCTTTCCCTCAACACGTCGACTTTGCGTGTCCTGCCTCGCATCCATGTCGTCAACTCGCGGAGCCAACGCAAATGCCTCTCTCGCTCTGACTGACAACTTCAGGATCTTCGGGTCTAAAGTTGCAGAGAAAATGCATATCTGTAAAAATGCCGCACCAGCCTCGAAAACGGTGGCAGTTTGACCTGATCCCAGTTCGCGTCCAAGAGCGTATCGGGTCTGCCAGTTCGCTACAGGTCTGCCTTGGAGCGAACAGTGAAAAAAAAATTCACCGGGGGTACGAGTTGAATTTTGGACCCATGGCCATTTTCCTCGCCTGGTGAGCCATGCAGAATCGCAAAGTGCTGGTGGGACGGCAGCACCTGGCAGGTCAGGCTCGAGGAAAACGATCCCATCATTTTGACCCATCCCACCCTGAGGTCCACGGGCTCGCTCCTGGCCAGCACCTAGGTCCGAAGCAGATGCAGCTCATGGCCCCACATCCACATGAGCGTGCAGCATCATCCTGGTGGGAGAGGACCTCGAGGCCATTTGCAGCCAGCGTGCACATTCAGTACCTTCAGTGCCTTCCCTCTGCGGCCTTGAGACGCCGGCACTCCAAGAGCTGCAGGATTGGCCCGAAGAGCAATCCTCTGCAATATAATTTCACTTGCGGGGCCTGAGAAAGGCCTGTCCTGCCAGAGTGTCCTCAATCTTGCTGGGCTTGCATCCTAGCATCGGAGTCATTCAGTCCAGTTCTGTGTGTCTCATCTGACCCAGACCCGACGGACGTATTCTGCAGCGGATATGCAATCCACCCTGCTGCAGTTGGCACCTGCAAAAGAGCAACGGAGCAACGGAGCAGCTTGCTGAAGCCAAGGCTTCCACCCATGGCAGATTAATTGTGCATGGCAAAGCATCCGGACCGGCGCTGCCAGTCCCTGATACCCAATTGGCCAAGGGAACATGCGTGTGCTGTGCAAACTTGGGCAGGCACTCTTGATTTGGCGATTTGGGAAGTTGGGGATGTGGAAAGCTGACTTGGTGGAAAAACAAACAAAGGCATACATCGGCAAAACAGCAAAGAAGCCAAACACATTTGTTGTGGGATGCCAGATTTAGGTATCCAAGCTTATCCCAAGGCAATTATTTTGATTCTGGCCAAAAAATGTGCTTTTGTGCCCGACGCATGCTCAACTAAGTGTAAGTGTTGGAATGCTGATCCAATATGAGCTCATACACCTGCAGCGCAGTTGCTCAACCCACTCAGCAACTTGCAGCATAACGATGCAACACAACCGGTGAGCTCTGCCCTTTTCTCTCTTCTGGTCAGGAACTTGGACACATTCTGCGTGGCGGCCTCAGCGACATAGTCGATGCTGACTTCAGGCGGTTTTGTCCAAATTCGGGGGGCCGCTCCGAGTGAGTGATGTCCTGGTACTGTTGACACCCATTGAGCTTCCGGCTCAAGCTCCCAGGCCCGAGCGTCTAGAACCCAGCTGGCGGCTCATGCCTTCTAAGTACTGCCTGGCTGAACAATGCCGCATGCCTCTCAAGAAACTCGGTCTGCCTCTCCAAGTCGTGTTCCCTCTCGCAAGTTTCCAGGATCTGTTCCTGCCAGCACATGAGTGCGTTTCCCCCAACAGTGCGCTCAGCCCAAACCCTGCCTTTGGCTCCACGTCCACCCATTGTCCTACCAGCTACCAGCTACCAGCTACCAGTGTCACGTCAGGAACTCTGCCAGGGCCTGCCATAAGTTCCACAGTCTGGGCATTGGCGCTGACATCGAAGTCCTCCAGCCAAGTCTCTCGGCTTGCGTCAATAT